GAGGGGGTGGGAAGAGGTCATACTTATTCAGTTCAGATAATATTTGACGCAGACAAAAAACATAGCTTAGGAACCCCATTTGGGTGGAACAGCGGCATAAAAATGTTTTAAAGGAAATAAATATTGTCATACATGAATGAATTGAATTTTGGTGTTAAGTAGCAATTGGGGAGGGGAAATAAATACCACCAGTTTAAATGCCTTTTCAAAGCCTGTTTTATCGAGTCAAATCTTCCAAGATATATTTCATTTACTATTTCTAAGGCTTCTGAAAATTTAACCTTATTCTGTAAATACTTATACTACTATTGTTTAGCCTTCTCCTAGGTCCTGACTGCTTCCTGCCATTGTACACATATATTTTAAAGTGCATCTCCAAATTGGAAGATGTGTTAAAAATATTAATTTAAGAAATGTAAAAGTTCCAAGATTTATTTTTTTTAATCTAGTGATGTTCACCAACACATGACAAATACGAAAGAGACAATTTACAGATAAGTCAAAGAGATTTTTAAAAATTCTTTCCAAGTCTATTAAAAACAATGGCCAACTATCTCTGGCATCAAATAATTAGCATATGTCTTCATAAAGAAAGCCTTTAAGTATCTTATTGTCATGAAATGACATAATGACACCTAAAAATAATGATTGATACCATGTACATTGAATATAAATATTGAAATGAAAAGGAATCATTATACTTTCAATTCTTAGACAATGAAAGGTACCAAAAACCTACAGCCTGAAAAAAGAAAAGAAAGCAAGTTAGAATTGGAATTCCCAAACCCATGCTGCAGTGAGGCTTATTAAGTCAGGGAAGGGGTAAAGCAGCAAAATAAAGGGGGGGGGGGAGACACCTATCTGAGTCTCACAGACTGTAACATACAAATAAATCCTATGACCCACTGAACCCACACAGTAGCTTGTGACATCCAACAGCCAGTGAATCTCCAGCACATAGTTGCAAGCTACACACAGCTACAGCTCTGACTCTAGCCCCTCAGTAAGGCACTAGTGAAAAAGAACTGAGCATTTTTGCCCCTTGAATGACATTAAGTTTAGTGTCCTGTGGAGGCTGGCACAGTACTCATGGTGGGCATAGGTAAGAAAAGTGCAAAAAGCCTCTTCGCTGGGCAGCCAAGCCAAATAATTCTACTTCCTGAGCAGGTGGAGCAAACTAGTCACAAGCTTTGTAAAAAACAGAGGCTTTCCTCACTCACTCCCTAAATAAGTAATCAGTATCCATGAAGCTGCAAAGTATCACAGAAATGCTGCATTCACAATGGGGTGTCATTTCCCTAGATTATGCCCATAAAGAGCTTCCTAAAGGAAACAAAACTTTTCAAACAACTTGGCAAGTATGGAAAACAAGACAAGAAACACACTGGATCTCTTACAAACCGACTTTCTGCATTCCTCTTCCTGTCCTACCATAATTGAAAACAAAACTCAGGAGACATTATTTATATTATATTAACAGAAGAGACTTGGAGGAAGATCAAAATATAACGACTGATATTATTTTCAAATAATTGTGGTTAAGATTGCAGCCTTAAGCCTGATCCTCTGCATATTTACTGAGAAGTAAGTTCTGGCTTTCGAGCAAGGAAACCTTTACCTTTTACTAAGTTCCACTTAGCTCAATAAAACTTACTTCCAAGTAAACATCCAACGGTTCCAACCTAAGTGCCATCCTAAACACAGTTACACTGAAGTCACTGGGTTTTAGGAAGTCTAACTCTGCTTGGGACAGCTGTGTAAGAAACCTATCAGATTCAAGTGATGTACAGTACACACCAATGCTGGTTTACACTAGGGTTGGCTACCAACTTCTCAAATGTTAATTTAATTGCAATGCAACCCAAAACTGAAATAATGAATATATGAGACTATTTTTCCATCATTATTTCTTTACTCCAGATTTGCATAATGTCCCTTTTATATCCATTAACAACCCATTAGGTACTTTGTCAGCCACTGGGGAAAGAGCAGGTAATAGTAATTCAAGATTCTAAGTCTCAAACATTTTAGAAAATGTAGATCAATTTACAAAAGAACAACTATTAAATACCAGTAACAACTCACGTATGTTTCTCTTTGATGGAATGGGAAGAGTAACTGTACATTGTTACATCAAAACCAGGGTTTCCCCCCTCTTTTAAATCTGCAGTGTTTAAGAAAATGTTCTGTCCAAAACATAGATACAACTTTTAGTTTGAAACTTTCCTTCTACAGGCTGCCCCAAAACCTAACTTCAGCCCTCCTTTAGGTTCATTTATCACTTGTATACCACATCAGTGTCTGTATACTATACTACAGATACAGGAAGACATTCTTGTCAGGTTTAATAAGCAATTGTGTTTATTCCTCCTTACAAACAGACAGCATATTTCAAAAGGTCTCTTTATGAATGATGTCTGACTTGGTTGTGAATATTTTTCATGTATACTTTTTCATGTATACTTCAAGAGTCTACTATTACAGAGCAAACAAAGCCTATACCCCATGAAGCTACAGGGAAGTCAAAGAAGCTTGTGCATAAGTTTTCTAAGATTTCACATGAAAAACGGAAGCTGTACGTCATCAAATCAGCACTCGTGGAAGCTTTTTAACTTCTCAAAGAAAGACTATCTCTAAGTCGACAGTCACTATAAGGACTATCCTGTATATTCTAGAAATTATTACAAAAAGGTAACTTTAAAAAAATGGATGCCAGCAGTCACTCTAGCTTACAAAACAAACTACAACAAGTTACTTAACAGCAAGTGTTGCATAACCAACCACTGTCACGTCTAAAGTAAACTTTGAGCTCATGGCTCTTCTTTTTATATGTGTGCACGGCTGTTCTACAGGCCTCTGAAAACAGAACATGTTCTTCCTAACACAGCTTAATAAGCACAGACAAATTTCATTTAATGAAAACAGATAAAAAAGTCTCAAGCAATTACTTCTATTCTACACCCACAAAGTCAACATTAGACATTTTCATGTTGCAACAGACAAATAAATTATGGTTTTAAAAAAATCTGTGTCTCAAAAGCATTTGACAAACATTATACAATTCAGTTTGTATTGACTGAATTGTTGTATTTATAGGGGACCAGTTTTAATAGAAAAACACAAACATCACAGTCTGGAACAAGTACATATACGCAATAAACTTAGAAACTGCTAACTCGCAGACCCCCAGACAATTCCATTTAGTATACCTTGAAGTCCTTTTGGAAAATACAAAATCAGCAGTGTTACATCACATCACAGAACAAATGTTTCCTCCTTAAACCTATTAGAACAGCAAATATATACTTTTTCTATATGCGACAAAGAATAGAGAAAAACTTTTTAAAACTGTAGTTTCCATATATCTAAACATTATTTCAAATAAAATAATATTAGGGTGTGTCTCAGAATCCAGTCAATCACACAGAATTAATTTTACTTATTACATCCAACTATTTCTAAGAACAGATTTCATTTGAAAACATGATAGCAAAAAGCCCCAGACTACATACAGTGTCCTGTTGAAATAAAAAAAATGTTTTAAGAGCCTTGTTTGAAAAATCACAAGCTTTAATACATTGTTAGAAGAACAGTGTGGGGGGCATATTACAAATATATGGCTCTTTTTAATTGTGTTCCTAGTAATAATGCACCCTGCAAGTATACAGCAATCCTCAAAAGATTTTTACACTGTATGGTACATACACCAACAGACAACCATCAGTGAAACCAACCCTTCTCTGATGCAGAATGATTGCTAACCTTCAAGCTATGGAGGGTGTAGACTTTCCAATTTCCCGGGAGGGGGGGGCTGAGGCTGGGCCAGAGGCATTGCTTTGCTAGGAGCAAGGGTGGCTCCCGGGGGAGGCTGAGCACCTTCCTGAAAATTTCGGCGGGGCTAACGCCCTGCCGCCCCCACAAAGATTACGCCTATGCAGGTAAAAGCAGAGAGCACATTTTCGCCCTCCACACAAACAAACTGTCAAAACATCAAACACTAAAAACTAGATTGATCCACGTGGCCTTTCAAAAATTATTTTAAACTTACATAAACTACTGTGAAGTTATCACCTTAAATGCCTGGCCTTCATAAGAGCCGATACATTAACGACACATTTTCTCACATTCCCCTCCCCACCCCTCCTTCTTCTGATTTTAATCAGCTGCTTGAATTCAAGTGGGTCATCAGAGCTTTGTAAAAATAGAGCCCTGAATCAGGGCTTAATGTGTACCGGGTCTCAGCTGACGAATCTGCAGGAAAAGTACTCAGTGTGTACACAGACAGCCTATTTAAGACTCAGGGACAGGTTTTCCAGAAACATAGGAAATCTCCAAAGTAGAAGCTGGAGCCATAGGCTCTCGTTTTTAAAAATGGAGGGGGGGGGGGACTGCTCTGAAGCCAGTCTTCAAAGTAAGAGGCTGAAAGACTTCCTTGAAACCTCACAAATTATTTACAAACACCGAGCGTCTGTAAGGAAGCCATGAAAGGGAGGGGCGACACACAGATTGCGCAAAACGGCTAGCTCAGGCCACCAAGAGATTTTGCACATGTATCAACATCTCTCATGCCTGGACAAACTGCAATCCAACCGTCCTTCTCTTCTTACTCTCTAACCCTCCCCCCCAAGCCAGAGATAAGCGAAAGGTGCCCTCACATGAAAGTCTTCGTTATTCAAGAAGGCCTTTAATTTAGATTCCCCCCCCCCAAAAAAAAAAGTTAATTAAAGCTAAGAGGGAAAGGAAGGGAAGGTTGAGAGAAGCTGCAATGCGGATGTTGGAAGGGAACAGAAGAGACAAGGCCGCTGCAAGAAGCACATTAAAGGGAAAAGGAGAAGGAAGGCGGGAGGGGAAGCTTATGGGGTGGGAAGAGCGAGTGATTTGAATCCCGAAGCAAGAAATGCAAAAACAAACAAAACACACCGTGAAGCCCCCTCTCTCGCAAGAAAGCACATAACTTATGCATGCGCGCACACACCCCTATCGCCAGCAGCCTTTCTTACATTTTCTGCACGGGTTTCCGCCGCTTACGGCTGGCGTAGGTGACATTGGGGTTCATCTTGCAGCCCACGCCGCAGCTCCAGTTCCTCTTCGCGCCACCAGCCCCAGATGCAGAGATTTCTTCCTCCCTCCCGCCCAGGAGACAGAGAGACACCGGGGGGGGGGGCACCAGCAAGTGCGTCAGCGACGGCTTAGAAAGGTCCCTCCGGGTGCCTGCCGCCTGGGCGAAACAGGTCGCGGCTCCACCCGTGGTTTCCCGGCCCTGCCTCCGCTGCGCCTCCTCCTCCTCCTCCTCCGCGCCGCCTTACGGGTCCCACTGCTGCCCCGGCTGGCTCGGACTCCCCTGAGAGGCAGCCGACTGAGGAAGGGCGGGAAGGGAAGGCGGGGGAGCGAGCCAGGTGCTCGGCGGCGCCGGCGACACCCACTCGTCGCCCTTCTGCCTCGTCTCTTCGGCCACCGGCTCAGAGACAGGTGCGGAGGCGGCCGCCGCGGCTCCCCAGGCAGCTGCCCTTCCTTCCTTCCTCGCCTCTTTCTCGTCAGCGATAAAGCGCCCGAGGCGGCTGGGAGCAGTGAAGCCTCCTCGTCCCCCCTCAGAAACGCCGCGGCCGCTTCGGCGTCGCCAGCCGCTGCTAACGGTGGCCTCCTGGCCACAGGCGCGGTCTCAAAGTCACCCGCTTAGGCAGCCAAGCCTCGGCTCCCTCCCTTTCTCTCTCCCCCGGCGCCCGCCCCACCGCTCACTGAGGAGGCCCCTGTGGGGCTCGGGCGGTGGCAGCGTAAAGGGGCGGTGCGCCGCCATGTTGGGAAGGTCAGGTTGGGGGGAGGCAGCCTACAGAAACTGTCTGCGGTGGACGAGGTGGAGCGTGGAAGAGTCGGCCCTCTTCGGGAGGCTCGGCTTCTCCACGCCGTTCCGCTCAAGGCATCGCTCCGCTGGGTTCTCCCACAGCGCTGCAGCCAGGAGCGGTACGCGTCTGTACGCACAAGAGTCCCTCGGGTCACCCGCGAAAGACTCCTCGCGGACGGAATGCGTCTGCCTTCCATACAGCCCCCAAAGTCGCGCCTGTGCCGATAACATCGTTAAATCTTTTCTTTGGACCTCGAGGAGCCCTCTGGATGCGATGAGTGAAAGGGACTGTTGCGGGGTGTACCTGCTGCTGTTGTGTTCTTAAAACTTGGCTTGCTCGATTTTTAGAGACAATTTGAAGCGACTACTTGCCAGGTGGTGGGAGATTCAGCTTGTTCTGTATAGATATATACTGGATGAGCTTTATTTAAAACTTAGTGAATCTGAAGTTAATCTAAACCACAAGACACTTTTTTATCTAAAGGCAAATTATTAATGGTAAATAATTCACCTTTTTTCATGGCATCACGCAGCCCATTAGAGGGCATTCTTTTACATTCTTACAAGGACCATACATCTGCAATAAAAACAAAGAATCTTGTGGATCTTTAAAGACTAGCAGTTTTATTGTGATACTAGGCAACAGAAATTCAACAAATGCTCGTCCTGAATGTGGTTATTTCAGTTCAAACATGGCTAGGATTAAATAACCCCAAGGAATTAATTGTGTAGGGCACACGCAGATCCTTTCTAGAACAGAGTTAAGGACTCCAGCCTTCTGCTGCAAGAAAGAATATCACTGCAGACTTTTGGAGAAGGAAATGAACCAAAGGATTTAGCAACGTGTTTTCTTCTGCAGCAGCTGAGAAGTCAGTTCTCTTCATCCTCTTATCATCCATTTATTGTTAAGGGAAGAAGAGCTGAGGAGCCAGTGAATTACATGTGATGGGGCAATGGCTAAATCTAGCCACAGATCCAGGAATAGCATGGGAAACAGAGACCTGTAGGGTTTCCATATTAATCCTGTGGTTACAGAATGCTACAATAGAATTACTGTGTAGTCGCTGCTGCTATTATAGTATTACCAAGAAATGCAAGTGTTAATATAATTCAGAGTGCTTGAGAAATAACAGTAAGAGGATTGTGCCACAAGAAAGGAAATGAAAGCTTGGGTTCTTAGGCAGAAATGACCAGGAAGGTACATGGCATTGTGGGTCAACTCTGGTGAGGTGATAGGAGCCAAGATGTAAAGAGTCCTGCTAACATCAAAGCTACTGGATCTACAATACATTTCTACAGGATAAAAGTTCAGAAGCAGGATTGGGATGTCAAGGAGCATAAAACAAAACTCAAAGTCCAGGTCAGTTTTCAAATACAGGAATGTAGACAGAATTCAGGCAGGAAATAGAAGCAAATCCAGATTTCTAAAATCCTAATTTTTGCCCCATTTTGAGTTAAGAACATAAGAGATGCCAATGTTGGATCAGGCCAAAGGCCCATCCAGTCCAACACTCTGTATCACACAGTGGCCAGAAATACCAGTGCCATCAGGAGGTCCACCAGTGGGGCCAGGACATTAGAAGCCCTCCCACTGTTGACCCCCCCCCCCAGCACCAAGATGACAGAGCATCACTTGCCCCAGAGTCCCTATCTATACCTTGTGGCTAATAGCCACTGATGGACCTCTGCTCCATATGCTTATCTAATTCCCCTTTGAAGCCGTCCATGCTTGTAGCCGCCACCGCTTCCTGTGGCAGTGAATTCCAAGTGTTAATCACTCTTTGGGTGAAGAAGTACTTCCTTTTATCCGTTCTAACCTGACCGCTCAGCAATTTCATGGAGTGCCCACGAGTTCTTGTACTGTGAGAAAGGGAGAAAAGTACCTCTTTCTCTACCTGCTCTTTCCCATGCATAATCTTATAAACCTCAGTCATGTCACCCCTCAGTCGTTGTTTCTCCAAGCTACAGAGCCCTAAGTGCCTTAACCTTTCCTCATAGGGAAAGTGTTCCAACCCTTTTATCATTCGAGTTGCCATTTTCTGCACTTTTTCCAAAGCTATAATATCCTTTTTCATGTGTGGTGACCAAAACTGCACACAGTATTCCAAATGAGGTCGCACCATTGATTTATATAGGGGCATTATGATATTGGCTGATCTGTTTTCAATACCCTTCCTAATAATCCCCAGCATAGCATTGGCCTTCTTTATTGCAGTCACACACTGTCTCGACATTTTCAGTGAGTTATCTACTACAACTCCAAGATCTCTCTCTTGATCTGTCTCTGCCAGTTCAGACCCCATCAATGTGTATTTATATTTAGGATTTTTGGCTCCAATGTGCATCACCTTGCACTTGGCCACATTGAACCCCATTTGCCATGTTGACGCCCACTTGCCCATCTTTGACAGATCCCTTTGGAGTGCCTCACAATCCTCACTGGTTTTCACCACCCTGAACAACTTCGTATCATCCGCAAATTTAGCCACTTCACTGCTTACTCCCAACTCCAAATCATTAATGAACAAGTTAAAAAGCAGTGGACCAAGTACTGATCCCTGTGGTACCCCACTGCTTACCCCCCTCCACTGGGAGAACTGCCCATTTATACTCACTCTCTGTTTTCTATTAATTAGCCAGTTTTTGATCCATAAAAGGACTTGTCCTTTTATCCCATGATTTTTGAGCTTGCTTAGGAGCCTTTGATGAGGAACTTTATCAAAAGCTTTCTGGAAGTCAAGGTAAACAATATCTATTGGATCCCCCTTGTCCACATGTTTGTTCACCCCCTCAAAGAACATTAACAGGTTAGTGAGACAAGATCTTCCCTTACAGAACCCATGCTGAGTCTGCCTCAATAGGTTTTGTTCATCTATGTGCCTACTAATTCTTTCCTTAATAATGGTTTCCACCAATTTACCTGGTATCGACGTCAGACCGACTGGCCTGTAATTTCCCGGATCTCCTCTGGAACCCTTTTTAAAGATGGGGTGACATTAGCTACCTTCCAGTCCTCAGGAATAGAGGCTGATTTTAAGGAAAGATTACATATTTTTGTCAGGAGATCCACAAGTTCACATTTGAGTTCTTTCAGAACTCTCGGATGTATGCCATCTGGGCCTGGTGATTTATCAGTTTTTGAGTTGTCTATCAGTTTTAAGACCTCCTCTCTCGTCACCTCAATCTGACTCAGGTCTTTCAACACCCCTCCCGAACTCAGCGGTTCTGGAGTGGGCAAGCACTTCTCATCTTCCACAGTGAAGACGGAGGCAAAATTGAGTTATTGAGTGTCCCATTTTGTTGACTGTACTGATGCTCTATGTGTAATTTTCCTTGAGTCCCCTGTGAGAAAGGCGGACTATAAATAATGTAAATAAAATAAGTCAAGCAGCAAGTACTGTCAATCCAGGAAGGCTACTACAGTCTTAGTATATGGAGCAAATCACAGTGAGTTATATTGTAGAAACAAAATGTCCCTTTAGGACGTTCTCATTTACATGGGAAGAAACACATAGTAGGATTGCTTCTTGGACATGGCATTGTTGAACCTAAGGTGCAGGAAGAAAGCTATGGCCCCGGTCACACAGCAAAGTTGCCGCGGGAGAGGCACAGATGATGGGCAGATTATCCGGGCGCGATCACACCCCAACATCTGGGAAGTGGAGCGCACCCGTGGCTTACCGCCAGCAATGCACCTTAAAAAACTAGTACCTCCAAGGTACTAGTAAACCTTTGCCACGGGCTGCCTCCAGACACCCGTGGTGTGATCGCGCTGGCGCGTGGCATTCCCCTCCAGTCCCTTGTTTATCCGCCCGCGCCGAGGGAAGGACCCGTGGTGTGCCGCTGGCGCGTCTGATCGCGTAATTGCACATCAAACTGCGCCAGGGCAATTAGCCATGCCTCCCCCCCCCCCAGCAATATCTGGCCTGTGTGACCGGGGCCTATGCTTGCAAACATATGTACCCACCATCCTGAGAACCTCACTGAATTTATTGGGACATACAGCCAAGTAAAACACATAAGGTTGCAAAGGATTTGACATAGTGTATTGCAACTGAGGACAGTTTTTTAGGCGTCATGTAGGAAATTCAGGTTTGAGGTTCGCAGCTGTTGGATAGCTAGAATGACATATTAGAAGAAATGGCTGACTGCTGTTTTCACGGTTATGTTGTGAAAAGTGAAAAAGCAGCAGGACAAGCTTTCCATGCTAGTGTGCCTTAAATGAGTCACTCTCATGATTCAAAGCATTCACTTTTTTACACATATATTTCAGTCAATTTTTTTTGAGACACTGCATTACTCTGAACACTTCAAAGTGGTCACACTTGGAAGTGTTCAGAGTAATGCACAGTGTCTCAAAGAAACATACTGAGCGCAATTTTTACTTCCTTGTATATCATCAGTATTGCCCTTCCCACACTGTTGTATTATAGGATAAGGACACTGATTTTACAAATTCTGTTGATGTTACTTTGGATTTCCCAATAAAACATTTTCCCCATACAGCAGAATAATATCCAAGAATGCAGTCAAGCTCATATTAGATTGTAAGCTTTTCAACCTGTTTTCATCTATGTTGCTTTTCTGGGTATATATATGATTTTGCTACTCTGCAAATACTTCCATTTGATTTGCTATCAAAAGCAGTAGTTGTAAATATCCTTTTTTTAAAAGAAAAAGTCTAATACAGACAGGAATACCAGTTTGAGAGAATTCATGTTCATTATTTTTAACAAAAAAGAGAGAAAAAAGTGCAGTGGGAAAAATAATTAGTTCAGCTATGCAGTTTGTCTGTGGTTTGTTAGGAAGATCAAGCTTCAAAGCTCTACACCGCACTGCCTTATCTAGAGAAGTATGCACACACAGGCATGGAAGCTTTGTGATGAGTCCCATTGTACAAAGACTTCACATTACACGACCAATAAAAACCCAGTAGCCAAAGGAAACAGATGGATAGCATTTGTCTTCCCCCACAGCTATGGCAAACCTAGACAAGATAATAACGGTCAAAGCAATGGTATTCCCAGTAGTAATGTATGGCTGCGAGGGTTGGACTATAAGGAAGGCCAAGCGCCGAAGAATAGATGCTTTCAAATTATGGTGCTGGAGAAGACTTTTGAGAGTCCCTTGGATTGCAAGGAGAT